TCAGAAACGAAATCAGGGCCTCCAGGCCCATGGTGGGTTATCGTCTCTAACCTTTGGTCTCAGAGAGGAGTCTCCAATTCCAAGTCATCGGCAGGGCTTGGTCTGTAGTTCAGTGTGTGTGTGGGGGGGGGTCCTGAGTTCAAGTCCCACTCAAAATAAACTCATAAATAAAGCCATAGTAGAGACAAATAGCTCCTATCTCTGAGAAGCTTAGCAAGCAGATAAAGCCCTGTCCATAGGACTCCCACACAACCACACACAGCAGACAGATGGCCTAACCATCCAGTGCTCACTGCTTCCTTCTTCCCCTCCCTCTATCCACCTCTTCCATCCTTGATTCTCATGACCACAGCCTGCCCATTCTTCAGGTCTCATTCCACCTGTCTATTCCCTCACGATACCCCATTTTAAGTAGGTCCCTTGCTCTAGGCAGTAGGATCTGACTCAGCCCTAGTGTAAAACACACACACACACACACACACACACAATTAGAAAATGAACAAATTGGTGTAATTCATCACTTTAGGACCACGGTAAGAGTGTCTCACCTGTGGGGTCAAACCAGGGTTGTCCCCCTGCCACCTATAACCAACAGCTGTCCAAACAGGAAGAGCACTGGGCAAATAGGATCATTAGAGGGGCATTTCCCAACAAAGCATGGCAGTGAACTCGAAAAATGAAAACTGGCTATCTGAGTCTTTTTTCTCTTTTGACTAGAAATACTTGTGTGAGGGAAGGCTGTGTCTGACCCTGTATCAGGCTCTTGACAAGTACAGCCAGCTGGCAAGAACAAGATGCTCACAAATGAAAGGCAGCTGAGTAAATGATTGGCAGGAACTCAGGGTTCAGTTTAGCCTAGGGTCAGGGGTCCCAGCCAGGTGATGGTGTCACACAGGAGGCACTCAGGAGGCAGAGGCAGACAGATCTCTGTGAATTCAAGGCCAGCCTGGTCTATAGAGCAAGTTCCAGGACAGACTCCAAGCTACACAGAGTCCCTGTCTCAAAAAAAACCAAAAAAGAAATAAAAAAAGGGTGGCCAGAGGAAACAGACATGTGAACCAAGACAAGAAGAATGAGACAAGGATGGAAATGGTTCCCAGCAGAGGAAACAACCCTAAAAACAGAAGTCAGGGAAGTGAAAGTAGTTAGGCAGGAGAAAGACTCCACAGGAGGCTAGGGAGGAGCCTGGAATGGTGGCTCACTGCTTTAATCCCAGCACTCAGGAGGCAGAGGCAGAAGAATCTCTGTGACTTCAAGGCCAGCCTGGTCTACAGAGTGAGTTCCAGGACAGCCAAGGCTAAAATTAAAATAAAATAAAATTCTTGGAGCTGGAGATGAATCAGCAGTTAAAAACACTGGCTGCTCTTACAGAAGACTGGGTTCAGCTCCCAGCACCCACATGAGAGCTCACAAACATCTCTAACTCCAGTTCCAGGGGATCCAGTGCCCCTCTTCTGACCTCCCTAAGCACCAGGCACACATGTGGTGCACAGACATACATGCAGACAAACACTCATTCCATAAAATAGAATAAATATTTTTAAAAAGAGGGTAGAGAGGTATATATGGGAGGGGGGCAGCCCTGAAGAGCTGGAAAGTCTCTACAATGGGTCAAAGTATTGAGAAAACATGGCTGCCGAATGTCCAGCCATAGCAGGATATACATCACCCCCTCCCAGGATCAGGTACATCAAGAAAGAAAGGGCAGAGAGAATATAAGAACCAGAGGAAGAGGGTGAGGACTGTGCAGTGCTGACCTCCAGGCATGGCAGGATCAGTGTTTTATCACAGGAAAAGTCAGAAGCTGTGCCACTCAGCTTTCCCCTTACTGTAATGAAATACCTCCAGTCAATTTATGAGGAGAAAGGGTTTACCTTGTCTCATAGTTATAGAGGTTTCTGTGCACTGTCTATTTGTGGCTTTTGAGTCTGTGAAGAATTAACTACATGACAGGAACACAGGGTAGAGGAAGTGACTCCCTTCATGGAAGCTGAGGAAACAGAAAGAGAAAGAAGATGGAGAGGAGAAACCAGAACCCTATAAGTCCCTTCAAGGACACCCCCTCAGTGACCTAAAGCCTCCCAGCCCCACAAAGCCTGCAGCACCTGGCCCATTGGGAAACATTCCAGAACTGAACTACAGCAGGAGCCAAAACACACAAAAAAGGGAGAAGGGAAAAGAGAGAGGAGAGAAGATAGGGGGAAGAGGAGAAGGGGAAGGGGAGGGGGAGAGAGGGAAAGGAGGAGGGGACTCACTTAGAAAGAAATGAAGAAGTCCAATTTCAGAAGGTCCAACCAGCCAATGGAAAGCACAGGCGAATGTTTAAAGGCAATACCAATGGCAGATCTGCTAAGTCTACCATGATTTACAATAGTCTGTTCATAGCAAAAACAAGGCCTCCCTCTGCAGCCTGCGCTGTGCCACCAGGCCTTGCCAGAGGGAGGATGAAGCTGTTTCTACCTAGATTTGTAGGGAATATGTGAGGCATTCACATATGAGGGACCAGGATTAGACACGCAGGCTTACTACTGCGGCTTTGTCTTGGGGTGCGAATTTCTTTCTCATAACCTCAATCTAAGCGTGCCCAGTCATCATGGAAGCTGGAGCGAGTGTCAGAATAATTTTCACAGGATTTGTGGATGCAACATCTAAAAGACAGACCAAGCAGCCTAACACGGAGAAATAAGATTAAATGGAGTTTTATGTTCTGTCTGTTTCTGTAGTGTTTAAATGATTGGCATGTATCCAATTGCATTCCTAACTTTTAGAAGAATGAGTAAGATTGTATAAATTGGGCCAGTGAAGTGGCTCAGCAGATAAAAGCACTTGCTGCCAAGCCTGGCGACTTGAGTTCAAGCTACAGGATCCACATGTCAAGGAAAGAATCCACTCTGACAAGATCATGTACATTTTAGGTGTCTACAGCCACCCTGGATCCTTTGTTAAGCTGCTTCCATTGGGTAATTTGTCACAATTATGAGCAAAGTAACTCTGGCATCAACCCTTATGCTACTCCCTCTCCCCCACACACACACCATAACACAAGTCCCTTAGACTGGAATCTTGGAATTCTATAGTCTCCTAGCCTGATCCTTCCTCTGTAACTTTACATTCACCCCAAAGATTAACCAGGGAGAGCCCTTGTCTAAGAACCAGAGGGGAGAACAAATTCAGGGTGGGAGTCCTATATAGAGAGGAGAATCCTCTTTGGCACTGGAAGAGGGTTTTCAAGTCAACAGCAGCCTCATTCAGCAGGATGCCAGGCTGTCTGAAGGTGAGGAAGGATGTATCCATAGCTTGTACTCAAAGCTCTCAGCCAGGTGGTCAGTGTGGCTTCAATGACATGCAAGAAACAAGCCAAATAGGCCAGAGCCCCACACCTCTTACCTGAGCCTATAGGCAATGCCCTGATGATAATAAGTATGCCCTTCAGGGTGCCCCAGGCTGGCTGTCTTCCCTATGTATTTTGATAACTGCTATTGGAAAACGTAAGATTTTTTTCTTATCTAACAGTCAAGAGTTAACATTGTTTGGGGGTCTCATTAGTTTTCCTGTTCTCACTCAGACCATCACTAAGGACACACAGAAGAACTATGATTTGTCAAGAGCAGATGGTCTGAATCTCCATAGCCCTATGCTAGACTCTAAGGCCTGAATTTGAATTCCTAAGGCTCTGTGCAGTGACTGTTGACTGTGAAGCCATCTAAAACACCACCTGAACTTGGGACCTTATGATACTGGAGGTGGTCAGAGGTAGAGATGAGCTTGTCACACCCCTAACCACCCAAAGACTTAAAATAAGAACAAGGTGGGAGTAGCAAGCGATTCATAGTAAAAGCTGGTGTGCATTGAACATACAAGGTCCATGCTGACCACTTCGCATGTTAATTCACAGAATCCTATGTGTGAAGCTGCTGCTGCTGCTGTTGCCCCCAATTCATAGACAAGGGCAAAGGGCCTTGGAAAGGTCGGTTACTTTCTGTACCTATCACAGCTGCTCAAATAGAATCTGAACTCAGGTGTCTGAGATCTTGTTCTTTCTCAAGTAGCCCCAGGTAGACCTAGAGCAGGCTGAGCACAAGGGCTGAAGTCCCGATCCCAGGCCTTTGTTTCTGGGGATCAGACCCCAGGGCCTTTGATGTGCTAAACTAACCCTCTACCCACTGAGCTGCACCCCTGACAGAGTGGGAAAGGAGGCTTTGCTGAGCTCAGTAGGAACCCTTAGCATGCCAGGTCCTGGAGAAGTCATGGGTAATACAGAGAAGGACCCAGGATGCTGGGGGACTAGGGAAGGGGGACCAAGGCTCAGGACAGCATTTCCCATCCGCTGCAACATTCTAACAGCCTGAGAAGCTATGTCTGTGGGTTCCAGTTAACAGATGGCCTTGACTTGGGCATAGAGGTGAATAATTGGGCCAAAGTTTCTAGTGTGGCAATGGTTGCATGTTTTCTGTAAATAACCAAACAGCAGATAGTTTGGGTTTTACAAGCGCTACAACTTCTGTCCTTAGTTCCTAACACTGTCCCTGTAGCACAAAATAGGCCACAAGCAATAGTAAACAAACCAGTACGGCTTCAATCCAAAGAAGCTATGCAAAAACAGGTGGGCAAGCTGGCTATGGGTCACACTTGGCCATGACTGACCTAATGTTTGACACAGGTATGTCCTTTCATTCTACAGATATGTATTAAGTGTCTTCCACTTGACAAGTATGACTCTGGAAACTGACATACTGGGCTGAATGAGAGAGACTAGCACTACCACCCACATAGCCCCTATATGGGTGTGCAAGACAAACTCAGTTGGAAGTAAGAAATATAGAGGCCTTGGGAAGGTCTCCTGGGAGATGATAGTAATGTTGTTTTCCCAACAACCTGACACTGAGGGGAGCAGTCATCAACGGCTCCTTAAGAGTTGTTTCATCAAGACAGCCTGAGAAGGCTCATGCCTTTCCTTATCTGTGGTCTGTGGTCACCGGCTTTTCCTTTGTGTTCTCCAGTCTCAGAACAGCTACAATGATGGAGACTACGAAGGAGCCAGGAGGCTTGGGAGGAATGCCAAGTGGGTGGCCATTGCCTCCATCATCATTGGCCTGGTCATCATCGGTGTTTTCTGTGTGGTGCAATTCTACAGGAAGTAAGTAGGCTTTCTGAACCCCTCCTGCTATTGAGTGCTTTTCTCGAATGCTCATGGGATTCTATTGGGCTACAATTAAGTTTGGCTTTGATAATAAAATTAACAGGGTCTTCATCTTTTCTCATGTTACACAGACCATGCAGGGAAGCTTCGGAGTCCCAGGCCATCAATCACACCACTATATTCTAGCAATTCTATCAGGGAAGAAGAGCTTGACACAACTATAGCCATCTTGAAACATGATTGCTATGACTGTCCCAAAGAATGGCCAGAGTCGGTTTTTCCTGCTTAGTTTCCCATCAAACTACAAATAGACAAATGATTAAAGTAGAAAGTGGAACTTTACAATCAGACCCAGGCTCAAGGGGTACATCTGACCCTTCAATACCATCTGAAGATAAACTAGGGACACTCTAGCAAGGACGAAGTCACCTTTTCCCTCCTTTCTGACCCAGGTTGTAGGAATCCACCTGTTCTTGTGCTGCCTGGACCCACGGTCTCATCAGCAGGTCCCCCCGCCAATGAAATGCACTCTGCAATACTCCATCTGGCACATAGGACCAGTCCATAAACTCTGGCACTAAATGGCTCTGGCATAACAGTAAATATTCTAGGTCTTGCAGGACATGAGGTCTCTACCACCACCACCTCTGTCATAAGTACTGAGCTCTGCCACTGGGACACAACAGTAGCCATAGACAGCATGTGAATGACCGGTGGGGCTGTGTTCCCATAAAACTTTATTTATAAAAACAAGTATTTTTGTCTGTGGGTTATAATTCCCCAAGCTTCATTTCTAGAACAGGAAGTGATGTCAGGCTAAGGCAGGGAGTAGGGAGGAACAGAAAGCCCATGTAGCTTTCCCACTGCCTGAGAAAATGTCACTTAGGCTCACACTTAGAGGGCTGATGCCTGTTATGTGGCCCCATCTGACTGTCAGAGGGCAGGAGATGATGTGAAGGTATAAATGGAGCATCTAGAATTGTTCTAATATCTGTCTCACCACATGTCTGCAAAATTATGTCCTACGTGACTTTGCATTATGCTTGTCTCATTGCTAGTTCAAGGGCAGAAAAGCTGTGTGCTTTGGAATTGCCCATGAGCTCTCCTGTCATAAAGAAAGGGACAGTGATGCTTCTCTCTGGATTTACATATTTTTTCTGAATTCTCTAATAAGCTGAAATGAACTTCCCCTGATAGAATGAATGCCACTTTCCATCAGAGTTTTGACAAAGGCAAAGGCCACATGTTGCATAGCCTGGGCCCAGAAATGAAAAACACAAACCCACAGGGCCAAAACTACTCAAGCTTTTCTCCCTGGGCAATTAACTCTTCTACATCCTTGACCAAAGTACTTTGCCCCTTAACCTGAGAAGGCCAACCTTTTTTTGGCTTCATTGGCCAATGAGACTCACATGGGTGGATGAGGGAGGAAGTCACATCTTTAATCTGGGTAGATCAGCCAGCCCCACCTTGGCAATTGAGAGGACACTGGACATCACAAGAGATCAATTTCCTATCATATAAACCAGATCCACAAGCTATGAGGACCTCGTGGATATGGGAGTCCATGTCCTAACAGAAAGTGTCCCAAGGGAAACAGATGGTAGTGTCCAAAGAAAGGGAAAGGGAAACTAAAAGAGCAAAGGGAACTCAGAATTTCTGTTTAGATGACAATGATATCATCACTCATCACTGAGTTCTTTAAAATCTGATGATGGTGGCCTGGAATGTGGGAAAGATGAGAGTACTGGAGAATAGATGAGAACATGCCGAACTTCATTCTTAAAGAAGTCTCTCTTTCTCTCTCTCTCTCTCTCTCTCTCTCTCTCTCTCTCTCTCTCTCTCTGATTCATTCTTTGAGATAACGTATGTGGATGCAAATGTGCATACAGGTGTATTCACCTCTGCAGGTCACATGGCAGTCAGAGGTTGATATTAAGATATACTCATCATCACCTTGCTACCTTTTGACATAGAGTTTCTCTTGGAACCCAGACAGATGTCTCTGTCCTAGGCTCTGGGGTGATGGACTCACACTGCCACAACTGGCTCTTATGTTGGTGCTGGAGGTCTGAAATCATGCTTAACTAGCAAGCACTTTACCCACTGAGCTGTGTCTCTAGTGCTGAGTTCTTAACTACAGTTTCTCACCACCTCTCCATCAATGCCTCCTTTTCTGACATGCCAGTGACATGGACAAACTGTTCCCACTTTATGGTCAACTCCAGTATTCATTGATGGGGGTGACAGTACAATGAGGTTTGTAATAAGTCAAAGCCAAAACATACAGATGTCATGGGTCAGGCAGGGAACATACATGAATGCAGTGGCCTGGTTAGGAAACAATGAGGAGACATGGGAACTGTGGTGAACCATTTTAAATGGAGCAACCATCCCTCAGGATGCTGACCCCATTTTTAAAAGGTGTTAAAAATCTGATTTAGATGAAGACAACTGCAGTGTTTAAACCCTTAATAAAACATAGAATGATGACCACACCTGTAGACTGGAACCTGTCTACTTGGCAATCTGAGGTGAACATTTAGATCAAACATCAGATTGCCAGAGCTGAAGAGACAGCTCCTTGTGAAGACTGCCTCCTGCTCTTAACCAGGAACTGAGTTTGGTTCCCAGCACCCACAATGGGTAGCTCACAACTGCCTTTATCTCCAGTTCCAGGGTCATCATACACCTTCTTCTGGCCTCCACTAGCACCTGTACACACACACACACACACACACACACACACACACACACACACACACACATGCATACACACACACACACCGAGAGGGAGAAAGACAGAGAGAAACTGAGAAAAACACATGCACACACTCATACTTAAAAACATAAAATATTTTTTAAAAAAGAAATGTTTGTCCCTAAGATATCACCACCCAAGTTTTTTTTTTTTTAACAAGAGGCCCAGAAGTCATCATACATGAGAAATTCCAATACTCATAGTATATGTTTCCAGATGGCATCAAGGTATGTGTACATGCTTATGGTTGAAGCTTCTCTAATATGAATAAAATCTATGAATGGTCACCTTCCATTCTTTCTTCCTCAGGGGTACTGTTTTACAATGGTTAGCTCATGGGTTTTTTCATCAATTTTATCAGGATTCATATCCTAGTTCTGACCTGGGTTGGTGATGTAGACCTTTAATCCGCACAGTCAGGATGTAGAAGCAAACATATCTCTGTGATTTCAAGGACAACCTGTTCTACATATCGTGTTCCTGAGCTACACAGTGAGATCTTGTCTCAAAATAAAACCTCTAGCTAACACACAAACCATCTGGGCAAGCTGTTACATTCTCAGACTTCGTTTTCCCAACCTATCTGTAAGGTCAGATTCCTTTTAGAAACATTTCTGCCCAAGTCATCAAAGAAAACACAAGAGGGTTTCTAGAGTTAGAATCCCAGGAGAAACTCAAATAACTTAAGACAGTTCTTTGCGAGAGTGAGATGAGGAAGTGTTTGAGGCCAGTCCAGGCTCATACTAAGAACCTGCCACAGATAAATAAATATTTTGTCCTTTGTGTATGAGAGAGACACACACAGAGAGACAGGATAGTCTATAGAGAAAGAAATCAATTGCAATCTTCCATAAGCTGAATAATGGGGCCAAATTCTCTATAATCCTTTGAAATAAAATATCCCAGCCTACTTTGTAGGAATTGAATGGCCATGTGGAACTACTAAACAGAGGTCCCCAGCTTTGCACTGCCCAAGAATCAACTGGAAAGGTTTATATACATTCCCATCCAAAACATGCCCAGAGTGTTCCAACTGGGTAAATCAGATGTGAGCCTGGGAACCTGCCATTTTTCAGCTCTGAACATCCCTCCTCCCCCAGGATTTAGATCACAGAATTTGAAAGAAGCCTCATGGTCTGATCCTGGCAAATTCTTCCTCCAAAGTGCAAAAGAAAAGACACACTAAGGGTAGCCCTTAGCATAGTGGTCAGTTTTCCTTTACATCAGCAAACTCACTGTCCTAGTTTACTCTAAGTCAATGCCAAGGAGGGGAGTAGGGTTACGGATGTGTGCATGTCCCCGGAAGGCTCTGTTAGAACAATCTGGAAGCCAGCAAGGACTTCATGGAAGGGAAATCTGACTGCAGAGGTCGTCAAGCCTGGGTGAGGCAAAGCCATGAATGTAGATTTCTGAGTTTAGTTCAAAATTCCTCTCTAAAGAAAACAATTGATTTTCCAAAACTGTAAAGTATTTGTCTTTTAAAAAAAACAAGGGAGCCAGGCATGGTGGCACACCCTGTTAGTCCCAGCACTCAGGATGTAGAGGTGGGAGAAGCTCTATGAGTTCAAGGCCAGCCGGGTCTCTACATAGCTAGAGACAGTCAGGACTACATCGTGAGACCCTGTCTCAAACCAAAACAAACAAACACACACAAACAGGAGCTAGAGAGATGGCTCAGTGGTTAAGAGCACTGGCTGATTTTTCAGAGGAATTGGGTTCAATTCCTAGCACCCACTCAGGTGGTACACAACTATCTGTAACTACAGTTCCAGGGAATCTGATGCCCACTTCTGGTCTCCAAGGACACCAGGCATGGACAGAGGACAAACACATATATGCAGACAAAACACTCATACCCAGAAAATAAAAGCAGATAAATCTAAACAAACTAATAATAAATGGACTGGAGAGATGGCTCTGAGGCTGAGAGCATTGGCTGCTCTCTTCCAGAGGATCTGAGTTCAGTTCCCAGCACCCACATCAAGTAGGCCCACAATCATTCTTTTTTGGCCTCCAAGAGCACTGCACTCACATGAAAATACACACACATCCCTAAATAAAAAATAATAAAGTAAATACTTTTTAAAAATAAAATAAACAAAAATTTGATCTTGGTAGCTAGCATGATAATTGGTATATATATCCAAGACCCCAGGTGACTTGAGAGACAGAGAAACATGGCAACAGGGTCGAGAGTTTAAGGTATCCTCTGCTACATAACAAATTCAAGATAAAC